CATGGGAGGCCATCACAACTAACTGGCCCTTTCATGGTAGGGACTGTTTCCCGTGGGCTAAAGAAAGTGCACAAACAAACTGTGCCACAGACATTGATGATAGGTGAAAGCCAATGATGAAAGCCATTGAAAAACAGGTGAGTGTAAGGTGTAAATGGTAGCTATTCAGAGGACCAGAGAGCCTCATCTCCCCCGGCCCAAACCTCATCCCAAACATTTTGACACAAACAATATTTCCAAAAGAAAAATGCTGCAGTTCCCACAAAGAGGCTCAATTTGTTACAGAGGTTTCTGCAATTCAGTCATGGGATGTAAAGTGGGGGCATGGCAATGCTTTGACTTTTAGGTTTGCACAGTTAGTTCAGGAGGTTCTAGCACACTCTAAAATTCCAGCATGTTACATGTGAGAGAACTAGTTACCATATGGTGTCTGCTCTTCAAAACAAGTGCAGGTTTATACCATTTTATTACTAAAAGCAATCCGGAAGGTACATCTTTAATGATTGTTGCACGATTTATTGAATATTCCGTAAACAGTCCACATGTGGCCCTGATCGTGGGTAATATTCAAAAGACTACAGCTTTTATGCTACCACTTTAAAATAAAGTAAGAAAAGCCCTGAGAACTCTTGTAAAAAATAAAGTCCAAAGATCCCTTATAATCAAAAACAGAGATTGGCAGACAGTTCTGAATATAAATACTATTCCCTGTGTTAAATGTGTGGCTTTCAGACACATTAACATAACAGGAATTTAGGAAACTGTGTATTACCATATTTAGCATTGGTCTACTCTGGGAGTTTTATAATATGTTCAAAGATAAAATTACAGTAAGGCACAATAATTTGCCAGAAAGTGCAGTTTTTGTAAGTGAATAATGGTTTTCTTGAAATGAAATAAAGATGAGAATGAAAGGAATGAATTTAAACAATGAGAACAGAATGTTGCAACCAGCAATATAATTATTGGAATACATTCTGCTCACATTATAGTATGAAATGGATCTAGCATGCATAACAACCATCTAAATATAAATGTATACACACCATAATAAAAAAAATAGTAAGGAATTTTTTTCTTCTATCTTATTCTTAAAACTTTGTTTCAAATAGTTAATGGGTCAAACCAGCAAAAAGTTATATTTCAGTTTATAGTGGATACTGGAGACTACTGTACTCAGGTTATATCTCCGGGGTGCAATTGGTGAGATCCCTCTACTGTGCTACTAGTTTTGCAAATGTGCTGTGGCTGCTAGGAACAGGTCCCACAATACTTATTTTAGATTAAGGAGAATGTGGCAGGAGATGTTAAAACATGCAAAAAAGGGCAGGGACATGCAAAAAAAAAGTGTAATGGAGATACAAAGAACACACCTGTAATTCAGGGTAATACTGAATTCAGTAATATAACTAAAAATATGTAAAAGATTCATTTCTGAACTGGTAAACTAAAAAAAATTTAATTAGATTAAAAAAAATGTGTTGCACTGGTAGAAAAAAAAACTTATGATGTAAACTCTTCATGTAGCTTTCACTGGTCACTACTCTAATCGAACTGCAGAAGTACAGCAGAACCACCTTTGAAGCGACCTGTCTGGCATGTCCGGCACTGTCCATGGTGCTGATTGTAGCCAGCCGTCTGACTCAAAATACATTTTTAAAATATATAAAAATAATTTCATAAAACGTCTGTAAATTATCATAAATTATATTCATGAGTTAGACACTTGGGGACGGTACACATTTTCTACATTTGTATTATGCTAGAATTGATCTTAGCTGCCTTACATATTGGGTTACTGCTAATAAGAATACATTTCCCTCTATGTCAACTATCCAGGCTACCACAGGACTACACTGTGCAAAATCATTTCTGTATTCTCACAATATATAGCTCTGCAGAACCCCAGCTAATTACAGACCATCACCTCTCTGCCCCCCCCCCTTTCTCATGAATATACATAGATACCTTTTTTTCAAAATCTTCAGGCCAGTCCAATGGCATCACAAGTGATGAGTGATGTAAATACATTGGAGTGGCATTCAGTGCAGTAATAGTCTGAATCTGGGCTGCATGACAATGCTGTCCTGAAGGGGCCTGTCACTCATAGCGTGGGCTCAGATTAAGTGGTATAAATGATGCTGGCCATTATTTAACCCGGAAGCCTGGTGGTGGAAAGGAATTACTGCAAAGGACAGTTCCAGATTGATGGTGGGTATTGCAGGTACAGTTGCTTTTTTTATTTAGACCCTTAGTGGCCTGTTCATTATTTCTGCCAATGTTCTACTTTAAGGAGAAATGGTGGTTTAATTTAAAAACCAAATACTATTTTTTTAAAATTGTACAAATGATGTAAATATTACCAATAGCATGTCTACTACTCTTACAATGAGTAAAGCTAACCTCTCCGCAAACCACTGAAATTAAATTATGGGAGAATAGCTTTTGTTTTCAGGTTCAAATCTTCTCAATTGTGGCATGCTATAAGTGAGAAAGCACAAACTAGTTCTAAACTTGTAATCTTCTAAAGGCAGCTGAGTAGGTGTCACCATGGGATTATGTCTGCTTACCTGCCATTCTAGTGACAACTGTTACATTTTGGATTTCCCCTCATGTTCTGTTTTGGTGACAATGGTCACCAGGACAAATACAAAATCTTTCTAGTGGTGACAAAGGGAGCAATAAAAGCCTGACAGAGGCTCAGACAGAACCCTTTGTGACGTCAAAACATCATGTACAGAACTAGTATTGTCTACAGCAGGGCTGAAAATGTCCACTCGCGTGTGGGCGAGTGGAAATGAAACCATTGAGTCTGGCACTGTCACGGACAGAGGGAGCTGATGTGCTTGTCCAGCCACAGAACGGACGAGCAGCACCTCCTCAGAGCGCAGGATCTGACTAGGGGAAGCGTCCTGGCTGCTTGGAGACTCTTCGCACATGCTCAGTGCAAGCTCTATCCCTGGACAACCAGGTCGTGGCTCTGAAACCTGAGCTTTCTGCTGTGACAGTAAGTAAACAATGCAGATGTTAGAGCAGTGATTAACCCCTCTGTGCCACAGGATCTATACAGTTTTGAATGTGTATGGTTACACATGAATTTATTGATGTAATATGAGCAAGTGTGTATGTGTAATGCCCTGTGTGTTATGCTGTGTGCATGTGTAATGCCCTGTTTGTTGTGCAGTGTGCGCGATGTGCCCTGTGTGTGTTTGTTTGTGTTATGCCCAGTGTGTTGTGTTGTGCTGTGCTGTGTGTGTTGCCCTGCCTGGCCCCACTCCACCCCACACTGCCTGCCTGACCCCACTCCATCCTATCCTTCTTGTTCACAGATGTACCCAGTGTACCTGGGAACAAACTAATCATTCTCTTGCTGGACCAATACCGGGCATAGCACAAACCTGCTATGCCCGGTATAGGTCCAGCAAGAGAATGATTAGTTTGTTCCCAGGTACACTGCATATATCTGTGCACAAGGATGGAGTGGGGTCAGGCAGGGCAAATCGTGTAACTTTTAAGGCCTGGCTAGTAGCTCAAGACTGGAAATTTTGAGCCCTGGTCTATAGAAAGCTCAAACAGTTTTTGTAGAATGTAGGTTGTAGATCAAACCGAATCCATAAATATTTACCATACCATAACCATAACATACCATAAACAAGTAGCTAAAATAAATGGAATTTATGATATGTAAGGATAATAAAAAATGCAACCATCATATGAAATGGTAACAAGTACATTTAGTGAATAAGACATAATTCACCAGATGTAATTAGGGCAAAGGAGTGTAGAGATGTGAATTATGGTTTTTACTATACCATTCTGTAACAGGTCAAAAAAATCAATTTTTCTCAGCTTTCAACAAAAGACAAAAAAAGTGAAAAAAAACTCTTCATGAATTAAAAGGCTTACATTTCAACCTAATTTTACAGGAGCAAGAAATTCTCTCACAGTACAATACATAGACAGTAATGGAAAAATTTAAATCTGTGCTATTACATGCTTCATTTCATTGGGTACACTGCTGCTGGGCTATCCATGACAGGCTCAGAATTAAGTAATACAATCAAATACAATTTGTTCTGTTCCAGTTTACTGAACTATTCACACCTTCCCTTTACAATATATTGGACAGAACTGCTTACATACAAAAATGTAAAAGGTCACTTACACAACCTCTGTATTGACAGTACAATCAAAAATGTGCTTCAGCAAAACGTATCTTCAGTCTAAAAACAAATTCCTCAGGACTGCAACCTGTTCCTAAAATTGAAATACAAACTATGGCCTCAGATCATACTTGAAGTGTAAATCATACCTAAGAGATACCTCATACTACATTAAAAGTACAGACCTAGGATACAACCAAGACTCACCAAGGGCAGATTCCCTGTGAGGGTACAAAACATTTAGATTTATGCATTATGGTGCATTTCCCCTTTTGGAATGCTTGCCACATACTCTTTCAGCAAAACACACAAGACAATTGCAACTATAAAAAGAACTGGATGTGTAATTTTTAAGGGATATTTGACCAATAGGCAGAACCATAAAGGACACTCCTTTCTTTTACCTATGATTCCCAAAATAGTCAAAATATACCATCCAACAAACCTACATCTACATCTAAACTACTTAATTCATCTTAATAGGAATCTACTGATACGCTTTTAGCATGAAGGGCCATCAAATGCAAAAAAAAAAAAACAATGCACACGTACAAGAACCCTAAAGGTGAAGAGAAATCTCCCAAAAAAGGACCCAGACAGCAATAAACACCTCTGCTGGATTTTTATTGTCTGGATCCCTATTGGAGACAATTCCCTTTATGTTCTATCCAGGTGCCCGCTGCCACTAGAGAGGAAGTGATAGGTAATCTTCTACAGTGGGGACAGTGCAAGAAAAAATTAACAGGAGGTTCCTAACTTTCACTAGTCTGTTGAAAAGAAAGGGAAAGGTTTTCCCTGCAGATCTTATTGTACCCAGAAGTTTTATTATAGTCTTACCTCTTATATTTGTTTGGCGCATTCCTTACAGATTCCTAGATAAGATAAAAAGAAATGAATTGTGAGGCATAAATATGAAAAACACACAGTTTACATTTATGAAAATAGGACAGGATTATGTATAACAGCACTCCATTAGGAGTTGGGATTACATTTTTGTGGGTTTAAAGAAGAGCTGAAGAGTCATTTTCTACAGCCAAAACCCTAAAGTATGTTGGTGACAGCACATACAGAAGAAAATGTGAAACCGTTCACCCCATAACCATAATGAAATAAGCACTAAATATATTTCATGTTGGAGTGCCTTGCTGAATCATATCAATTTCACCACTATAATTTAATGCAACACACTAAACATAGCGACATTCAAAAGAAGTGTTTTCTCTGTCGGCACTTTCTAAAATGTGTGGGATAATACAGGTGTTAATATGCAATATGCACTGTACAAATACAATAAAGTGCACCTCATAGACAACTGTACAACTAACATTTCATTATATACAGAATAAGTGAAACAAATGACAGCTAACCAATGATATGGTGTTCACATGACCTCTCATAACCACAACAAACTATCGTCTGACTTTAAAGTTCTAATTCCCTAAATAAGGATAGATAATAGACGATACAAATGCTAAATCTGGCACCACCACATTAATGACTTATTCTGCTGCTTAAATGTTAGTGTTCAACATTATTCACCTCCATTTATTCCTCACTATTGTTATATATACCTAGCGATCCAAAGAGGTAGTTTCAGTATAAATAACCTACTACCTCCTTGAGTGACATTACTGCTACAGTGTCAGTTTTTAAGATTATATATGCTGGGTATGTGCTGTACTATATATTAATGTGTCAGGCCCTCCTTTGCAACATATAAACAATGTAAAGATATCTTTAAGTAGTATGATAATTCAGTGGCCGATAACCCATAAAGTGGCAGAGGCACCCAGTACATCAATGAGAAATCATATGATAGGGACATAAAATCTTGATAGAAATTGTATATATTTAGTAAACCCAATGTCAATCAAGATTTTAGGTGTCCCTATCATATGATTTCTCACTGACAATCTGGACGCCTCTGCCACTTTATGGGTTTTTCTATTACTTCCCTCCTCATTCCATTGATCAGTCTGAAATTCTATAAACACTTGATCTGGGCCCCCCTGAGCATCTAGTATGACCTATTTCCACCTGCATTGAGACAGAAGTATTCTCCACAAGTGAAATACTCCAAGGTTGTGCACACCACTTGAGAGGTCATGCACAGTCTCAACAGATCTCAGTCTTTCATTAAATATAAATCTTTTTTTTTTTGCAAAATAAGTCTTCTCTTACTTGAATATTACACAATCAGGGCTCTTCTGCCTGTTCTCCCTCTTTTTTTTTGCCATCATTTTGGCATCCGGGAAGCATTCCAGTTTTTAGATGATCATAGATTGTGAAATGCTTTCAACCACACAATGCATTATAAGCAAAAAAGAGTCTGCGTTGGAAATTACCTTTTCCTTGTCATTTTTCTAAGTAGCTATGAAATAGGAAGTACATATTTCACCCCAAATTACCATTACTATCTGCAAGGTCTGTTACAGTCATTCTGCTGGAATCTACTTGTACTGTATACATTTTAAACTATTCCCTTAGAAGTGTCATTTTGAAGCATGCATTGTTTACACTGTAATGCCACATGAACTCACGGTCATGTTAACAGAAACACATCCTGCCCAGGCTATGTTGACATAACGGCTAATATGTTGATTACCGAAGGCTCCAGGACTTGAATGTATATCTATACTTTCAACTTGATGACATTTTCCCTAACACATGTTTCAATAATTTACACAGGAAAAAGGGGCTAATGCAGACAGTTTGTGACACAGTTTAGTTTGTCTGCATTTTTGGCAGAAAGCTAAGAGCACAAGACTTTGGGGAGGAAGGCGGCATGTAAGTCTTCGGTTTACTAACCAGAGAGCATGTACAACATCAGATCTTTGCATTCCTGGCATGCCATTCTTTCACAATTAAAAAACACATCACGGAATCTAAATCACACTGACTAGGCAATACTTTCGACATTTACATAACCTTTAAATATTCTGGTCAACTCTGGAAATTACAGAAATATGATGCCTAAAGGGAAACTAACTCTCATAAACCTATTGCAGACTTCAGGAAATCAAAGAATTTTAGATACGGCTGTGACTGAGAGGCTAGATAAGTGTCTGTTCCTACTAGAAATATTATAGTAATGAATTCAACAATACACATTGAGACTAGTATAAAGTCCTTACACATGTGACCATGCAAGAACCTACAATCATTACAGGGAACTATTACCACTTGTGCCCATGTAGCCTAAACAATCATTACTCATGGAATCCATCCATGCTAAGCATACCAGCAAATCTAGTCTTCAGATGTATTTATAGTCAGACTGTTTCTTTTTAGTTCTGGATACAGTAGGGAAGAACTAAAACCTATGTCTATTAACAGAAAAAATTAAAGGTTGAATCTTCCCAGCAGGATCTCAGGCAAAAAAAAAAAAAAAATTACAGGTTTGTATTTATCACTACTCTTTAAATAAGTACTGGTAATAAGTGTTAAATCTATGGTAAGTGTGTGCATTTTTTTTAAGAAAACAGCCTACATTCAAGCTTTTACAAGTGTGCAAGTTATTAGTTTATGAGTTTTTTACATTGTGATGTACTCTCTGAAAATATAAGAGCCCTTTCAGATAGGTGGTTCATTGTCTGTTTATATCCCACTCTTCATAGATCAACAAGAACAAGATGGACGAAAAACTGGAAGGACGTGGATGTCACAACGATGACATCCGTTCCGAACTGCTCCAATCAGCAGGGATCTGTGCATGGATCCCCTGCTGACCGGAACCGAAGGTGCCCGCGTGAAAGGGGCCTTAAAGCCCCATAATATACATGATTACATTCTTTCTAGGTACTTAAATTGGTGACTGGCTAAGCAGGGCCTTAGCACAATGTGTGGGCACAACAAAATTTACTAAAATGTTAAGCAACTGCAAGCAAAAACCGCATATGTGTTTTATTCAGCAGTAAAAGGTCTATTATTCATTAGTGATAAACTTCCCTGTCATTTCATAACACGGATAAAAATAAGCACTGGAACCTGAACAGATATTTGCAATTTAGGCTTCCAACTGAGAAGAAATTGGATATGGGCAATTGTCTTAATATCAAAGCCAGACACTCTGCTTTGGACTCCAATGAAAACAGAGTGTGACCTTCAGAATTTCTTTCTTGTTTTTGTACAAATGAAGCTATTTGTTGAAGGAATACATTGCACTTTAACAGGGTTTCATCTGTGATTCAACACAGCATGTCTCACAAAAATGAGTAGAAACCTGTACCTATTGCAGTTTGAATAAGGTACTGGACACTATATGCAGCCTGTTAATAGCAATGATCAGTTAAAGTACAACATTATTTGAAATACAATAATCCAAAGCATTGTTCTGGAGTAAATGAAAGGTAAATGCTTACTTTTATCTGACCAAAGTCTTTAACGATACAATAATGTATATACAGTGTATGCGTACGCATCAGTGCAATTACTATAAGGAACGCAGCATTATGTAGTTCACCTAATTAATCAATTTAGTGAGATCAGTGATAGTAAACTTATATGCAATGATGCACATCTAAGGTCTCGTTCACACCTAGGCGTATTGCATATGCGCGTCTGTCGCGCGACCACCGTGCGTTTTTTTACTGCGATTCGCGGTAAAAAAGTTGCGCAATCGTCGCGCGTTTCCGAAGGCTACTTGGCTGTATCCCAATGGAAACGCGCAACAAAACGGCCCAAAGTAGTACCTGTACCTTTTCAGGCGTGGGCCGTTTTGTAGCGCGTTAGGGACGGGCGGAAATACGCCAAGGTGGGAATGAGACCATTGAATACAATGGGATTTATATTTTTGAGCGTTTTGTAGAGCGTTCGTCGAGCGTAGAATGCGCTACAAAACGTTCAGGTGTGAACGAGGGCTTACTGCTTCTGCACCTACTTATATGCATTCTCAACCAAATTCATGTATATAAGTCAGGTGATCAAAATATACTTCAGCGCTTTTTCTGCAAGTCATTTTTTTTTTTCTTGCTCACATGTTAAAATTCACATTTTAGGCTTGAAAATTACTTAAAGCCCCCAAATACGGTGTATCTTCTGAAAGTAGAGACCCTGTGGCATTTTCAATTCTTATGTCACACAATAATTGTCCTACTGTTTGTCAAATCTATATTTTCTTTAAAAAATACCCTCAAATTATTTTAGTGCACACATACACAAAATAACACCCATTCTTTGGCATAAAAAAATGAGGTTGCGTTGAGTAAATAAATACTAAACATGTCAAAAAAAACATGCTACACAAAATTGTCCAAAATAACATGCTGGTAGGTTCATTGGCTCCTCTCTAAGTTGGCCCTCTGTGTATGTATGTGAGATGGGGACCTTAGATTGTAAGCTCCTTGAGGGTAGGGACTGATGTGAATGTGCAACTATGTAAAGTGCTGCGTAAATTGTCGGCGCTATATAAATACCTGTAATAAATAAATACATTAAGGCCTTTACAGCTAATCAGTTTAACGTTAAACAGTAAATGATGGCCCCAGAATTTTTGTTTTTGCTCTGGTGTGCATAGCGATACCTAATTCGAGAAAGGAAGGGCTGGAGGAAAAAACGGGGGAAAAAAACAGGTTTGTTTCAGTTTTTTTCCAAAGCCATTTTTGTTTTTTTCCGGAAAAATTTAAATAAAAAAAAAGGAGTGTGAAATATGTTCCTTTACAATGATAAATACTATATCTTGGACATGGTATTCAAACTATATAACATTAAGACCTTAATGAAAGATTTCTGAGACTTTATTTAAAGTCTTAAATTATTGCACATTCTCTCAGCTAACGACAAGCAAATCCTGGAATACAATTCAAGTAACACTGTACTTCTCAATGCTGTTCCGAAACTCAAAAATAAATATGCATTTCTACCACTAGGGGCACTGCAGAGGAAAAGCTCCAGTTTAGTTATTTAAATCAAATGATCATGACCAAATCCTGAATATAAGGTACCACACCCCTAATATAGCAAATCAACACAGAAAGGAAAAGAATGGGCCTTCTAGGGTACCAAGTGACAAAAACCAAGCAATTACAAAATGATAAAACAAGGTTTCTTTATTATACAAAGGTTAGAAAATGTCTAAAAGACATAATTGATATGTACACATTTCAAAGAAGGAAAGAGCAAACTGATCTCCACATGGACTATTCCAGAATTATAATCTGAGGCTAAATGACCATAACACACAAATTTGATGTAACATACGTATGTTACAAGTATGCTACATCAAATGTGTGTGCTATGGTCATTTAGCCTCAGATTATAATTCTGGAATAGTCCATGTGGAGATCAGTTTGCTCTTTCCTTCTTTGAAATGTGTACATATCAATTATGTTTTTTTTTTTTTTTAATTATAACCACTTCCCGGCCGGCCGTTGTAAAAAAACGTCCGGCAGCTCTCTAGATCTGGGCGGGCGTCTTTAGACGTCCACTCAGCCACGCGATGCCCGTTAACATACAAACGATCCGCCGCTATAGAGCCGGCAGATCGCTTGTATGAGGTCCCGGTGCCCCGCCCCCCCACTGTCACGCTGGTCCCAGGCTCCGCTGTGCCCGGTGCGAGCCCGGGACCAGCATAGTGCCTCTCGGACAGGGGATCAGAGGGAGATCAGTACACAATCTCCTTCCAGTCCCCTCTCCGCTTTTAGAATGCGGAAGTGATGTATATAACATCACTTCCGCATTCTTGTGTCACTCTCCAGCTTCAGATGCTGGAGAGAAGCTGATGAAGCAGATCTCTGCTTCATCAGCTTCTTCAGATGGGTCCCTGGTGACATTAGGGGTCTTGGAGATCCCTGATGTCTCCATAAAGGGGACCTGTCACATCTTTTGCGATATCTTATCACATAGAGGGGTTTCTTAGCCCCCTATGTGATAGCAATAAAGTTAAGTGGAAAAAAAAGGAAACATTTTTTTAGGTTTCCCCCCAAAAATGTTGAAGTTACACATAAAAAAGAATTTAAGATTTTTTTTTTTCAAGTCCCCCCCCCCATACATACACGCATGCAAACATGCGTCGGGTGCGCATACGTGCGAAAATGACGATTGCGCCCATTACGCCCCACATGTTACATATCGTCGCAAACGTCGGAATGAGAGCAATAATTATAGGGCCATCAATCACTGATAACACTAAACTGATGTTCAATTTTGGGGATGGTAGTTTTTTGCGATTTCACAGGTGCACGCAATTTTAAAGCTTGACATGTTTGGTGTCTATTTACCCGACATGACCCCGTCTTTTATATTTTACCAAAAATATGGATAATAATCATTGTTTCCTAACATAATGGGGGGAAACTTTTTTTTTTTCCAAAATTTTCAATAATGTTTCCTTAATATAGCAAAAAATAAAAAAAACACTAAAAACCACAGTGGTGATTAAATACCACCATAGGAAAGCTCTATCTGTCCCCAAAAATGGTATACAATTCATTTCAGTACAGCGTTGCATGGCGGAATAAATGTCAAAGTACTGCAGCGCTGAATACTGAAAAATAGCCTGGGCAGGAAGGGGGTCTAAACACCTGGTCTTCAGGTAGTTAACCTTTGTATAATAAAGAAACCTTGTTTAATCGTGTTGTAATTGATTGTTTTTTGTCATTTGGTACCCTAAAAGCCCCATTCTTTTCCTTTCTGTGCTGACTCGTTTAGTTAGCTTGTGGGCTCTATCTTATACTTCCCACAGTTGGGTGATTGTTGGTATGATAGTTTCTGTCCTCACAGGCCTTAACTTACAGGAAAGAGGGTACAATTTGTCTGACAAATTGCACACCGATACCGGTTTTTCGGTATCGAGTACCGATATTTTTTTTTTTTGGTACTCGGCGATACCGAATACCGATACTGGAAGTCCCATTAAGCAAGCCAGACAGTGTAAGGACTTGTCACCTGGCTTCCCGATTAGCACGCATGGAGCCAGCTTTCTGGCCAATCAGGAAGCCGGCACCGGGTATTCACTCATTGCCCAGCTTCCTAATTGGTCGGGAAACTGGCCAATCAGAAAGCCGGGCAACGAGTCATTACACAGCGTCCAGCTTCCTGATTGGCTGGGATGTTGGCTCCATGCTCCCTCATCACCAGGTCGAGAAGCTGGCCAATCAGGAAGCTAGGCAGCGAGTCATTACACGCTGCCCGACTTCCTGATTGGCCGGGAGGCAGGCTCCATGCTGCCTCCTCACTAAGTGAGGAGGCAGCATGGAGCCAACTTCCCAGGCCAATCAGGAAGCTGGGCAGTGTGTAATGAGTCACTGCCCGGCTTCCTGATACCGGAAGCTCAGGTATCGGTCTAGGCATTGGAGCATTTGGGTGAGCATGAGTACTAGTATCGGAGCATCCCTACTCTAAACCTAGTTTTTCTTTTTTTAACGTAACTTTATTGCTATCAGTAGGCTGATACATCCACTATTTGTTAGAAAAATGCAGATGATATCATAATGCGGATGACAGTGTGCATAATCGGCTTCTTTCTGGGCCAGAGTTTAACAGCTCTGAACTTGGAAGTGCTCAGAGTTGAATGCTTCTGGGTACATACAAACCAGGACACCTCTCCATTCTCACACCCAGAATGGAAGTCCTGGGCACCCAGAAGATAAAAGGTAAGCCTGGGACACAATGGCGGTGGGGAAGGAGAAGTCCCCTTATGGTACATTTAGAAGGTATCACTTCTACAAAACAGTGTGCACCTGGGACTAAAAAGGTAAACAAACTCTACAGCAACCAGGAGTCTGTCTATATGCTGAAGCTACCGCCAACATAATAGTTACTTCAGCAAAACCAAAGGGTTAAAAAGAAGTTGTCAATGCATAGTCACCAGAGTAAATACAGTCACTTTCATGTAAAATGCATGCTAGGAAATGTATTGCTGAAACATATAAGTGATTATGGTTTGTTTTTTTTATTCTGTGCTATGTCCAAAATAAAGATTTGTACTAAACACTTGGCAAGTGCTGGACTTTTATAGAAAACTAGGAAACATTCTTGTGTTCTATCGCTTGAAGACTTTATGGATACGGTTTTCCCACAGTAGCTTGTGTCTCCACAAACATCCCCCCCTCCAATAATGTCTCTTAGATAAGGCTTGACCATTGATTTGTTTATTCTACATTATGGAGATTCCACCATGGCAGAAGGACAACACCCTTAAAGCAATGTGGCCCCTAATGAAAACACATGTTCTCACCGTCTGCCATTCACTTGGGTCTATAGAAAAGGATTCGTTCTGCACTGTGTTTTGTTGGGTAACTGTATCTTCCTTTTTGTGTTCTTTCTGTCCAGCTTCATCATCATCGTAGTCATCAGGACTCTGTAAATAAAATAAAAAAATAATCTTAAAGAGTGTAAAAGAGCCTTTTTAGAAAAAAGTTTTGATTTTTGTTAACTACAAATATTGTAAGGGCAAAGTAACTTGCAACAACAATTGATGTTAAATGCACATATTTTGGGGGGGGGAAAAACAATAGGGATATTAGAATACCTATCAATTGCAGTCAGAGGCTCAGCACCCTCCTCTATTACCTCCTGTGCTTAACTTCAGTTCTATAATTATAATGGACAGCCTTCAGGCAGACATGGAAGATATGACAAAATGGATTAAGTTCTCTGACATAGGAGCTGACCAAGATCTGCATAGGAAGGATATCCCAGGTTTACCATTGCAACGGGGTACACATGCAAACACATCTAGGTGTCTGCTGTCCATTTAACCCAGAGGGTAAATTTAAGTAATCACAGGATACATTTAAAGAGCTAGTATTGCAAACATTTTATCCTAACCACTTCAGGCCGAGTGCACAATAGCATGACTGGAAGCCTAAAAGGTAAGCGACATAGCTCCAGGATTGGAGAATGGACCATGGGTGTCCTGCCACAACCCCCTCCGAGAACTACACGAAAATACCAAAATCCAGCGTGGCATAAAAATGGTGTTGTGGCTAAGAAATGCTAACACTGCTCGGTAGTTGGTTCTAAACTGGTTGACATAGATGAAAATTTGCAACACTAATAACGTATTCCTAAAGTAGTTATTGAGGGGAATTTATCGAAACTGGAGCAGACAGAGACTGGAGCAACTGTGCATGGCAACCAATCAGCTTCTCTTTTTCATTTTCAAATTAACTGAACAAACTGAAAAGAGAAGCTGCACAGCTGCACAGCTGCACAGCTGCACCAGTATTTATCTGCTCCAGTTTTGATAAATTACCGTCCATTTGTTTATTTTGGCTAAAACCACAAAGCACAGCGAGTTCTAGAGATTTGTATTAGCAAGATACACAAGTTGACTTGAACGAAATGTATGTTTCAATTCATGTTGGATCACTTTTGATACAAATAGTAAGACATTGTTACAAGCACTGGGTACTGCTGGATTTGTTTTAGGGGAGAAGGGGTAATGTACAGGTCACTGTTTCATTTAACTTTTTTTTATGGATTTGGCCTCCACATGTGTGGCATAATATATATA